TAAGAACTACCAGGACTTTAATAGTTTTTCTAAAAAATATTATATTAGTTATCTCAGCAACATATTAGCTGCATAGACTGTAAATGTCAGTTAAGCATACGTCATCAGCTGCACATGACAGGACAGCACCGCCTATCTCTTGTATGGCGATATTTCTGCCAAGCACATCCAGTTAAATATTGTATCTTCCTATTTCACGTATCAAAAACAAGTACTACTTGAGTATTGTAAACAGTATAGCTTTGTAATCTTGAAACTTATTCACGTGGGTTGCCTCGGTGACCTCGTTTTAAACAACACTAAACAACCAATGGTAGACTTGCTAAAAAGACAACTAAGATTCTATTGGAGAAAACAATGGTGATTTTTCTATTGAATAGCCACAACTCGAAGTAAAGTAAGAAAGTTGATTCGTTATCAAACAACAGCGGTTTCTATTTTAACGCTTTAGCATCAGGTGGTGGATGGCTTTAAACACTTGGATCTGATAGGCAATCGTGTTGTATCTGTTACAAGTGAAGGTGTATAAGACAAAAACTTGTATGTTGTTCGGGTATTGTGCATAATAACCAATATTATCGGAGAATGTAGATAATTTCAGAGGCTGTGAAACAAGTTAGTAGCTTCCTTAATCAACGGAAAGTCCGCAGTTCTCCAAACATTCTCGCTAATGTGCATAATGGGCGGTAAATGTTCATATTTTCTAATCATACACATTCACCGTAACATATCAATAGGCTTAAAAATATCATGAAATGCCACATTAGACACATATATTTTTATCCAATCCTCTAAGACTGTTCATTAAGGATTGAAAATCAAAGGTGCGTTAAATAGCATAACACCCAATCCATCTTTTATCTACCACAAATCACTGCACAGGAAGCTTGTTAAAACTCGTCAGCTGGGGTGGTCCTTTGCAGCTTAAGCTCTTATATGCTATCTCTGTACAGTGTAAGAAACACAACTGTAAACTGGCTTAAACTCATTCTACTTTGTTAAAACTGATACGTTCAGTATAAAAACATCTTTGAAACTAATGTTTACTGGTTAAAAATATTCTACTTTGTTAAAAACTGAGATGTACAGTATAAATACATCTTTGAAACTACTGTTTACTGGTTAAAAAATACTCTACTTTGTTAAAAACTGATCTGTACATTATAAATACATCTTTAAAACTACTGTTTACTGGTTAAAAATATTCTACTTTGTTAAAATGGATCTGTATAGTATAAATACATCTTTGAAACCTATTGTTTTCTGGTTAAAAAATATTCTATTTTGTTAAAATTGATCTGTACAGTATAAATACATCTTTGAAACTACTGTATACTGGTGTGAAAATATAGGACTTTAAATAATTGAATTTTCTAATACCAAATAAAACATTTCATCCAATTTTCTCGAAAGTTCAGAAGAATATAAACCAAGGTTTTAATCGTGATTAAGTTCTGTCTACCAGAAGCTATTACTATGATACATGCTACTAAAAGTTTGGTGTAATTAAACGTATTTGTAAGAATTTAAATTGAACTCAAATGCAAGCATTTTTATACATCTGCTCATCGCAATACTGGTGTTATACAAACCAATGTATTCTTCTTCTCTTTATTCTATGACAACGAGTGATATTCTGGAATTTAAGGCAAATATACTAAATTAATAAATACACTATAGTTATTCAGTATTATACTAACAAGTTGTTACCACTTCTAATTTCGTTGAAATGATCAAACTGAAACTTTTCTGCGTTTTTCGATATTGACCACCATTATTATTTAAATAAGAAACCACACCCATCTCATTTGCTTCAAAAATGCTGAAATTGTATATTGACATTTAGAAATTCAAATCATCGTGTTTTTTTCTTCACATAGAATATTCCTTAAGTTGATACTTATAAAATACTACCGTCTTTAAGAAAACATATTGGTGGTTTTCCTGATACCTCACTTTCCTAGCGAAGATGAGTCTGATCATAAAGTTTCAAGTGTAATCTGAATCACATACAGCATCATCTGTGTCTCCGCTCTTCTAGCAGACTGTTATTAGAGACAACAAACGAGGGGCTTAGATGGAGATGCCGAGAGACAAATGATTCCCTTCGAACTGAGTGGCAGTTGAATGAGAAGTAATTGGCTCATAAATAACCCTGTCTCTGGTCCATGTCAATGACAGCCTCCATGGGCACTGGTCGGTTCTAGTTATTAAATCTGACTCTTCTGGCGAAGAGGAGAGGGCTAGTTTTAAGCCCGATGTGAATCATTTTTGTCTTCCATTTGCAAACCTTTTTTCTTTTAACCTAAACTTCTGGTATCAGAATTAAAAACAAACCTCTTTGATTATAAAAAATATAATTATCTTTGTTAGATATGTAACATCATTAAATATTATTACTGTTACAGTAACTTGAATTAAGATGCTTAAGTGCACATTGGGGATTAGGGTTAATCATAAAAATAAGATCATAACTCCAGCTTAATGACTTTATTAGCGCCTAACGTTTCGTCTTCTGTTTGGATGCCTAACCTTAGAAAAAAACAAAAACGAAACATATTTATACATAATTTGTGGTCTTATTTGTAAGTAATCGTATTTTCATCACAATAATTGAAATTAAAAAACCTTCCGTTTCTGTGTGATTTAATAAGTTATTGACAAATTTAGCAATGCATAAAACACACTTGTATAAACGTATTTCACTAGAAAAATAATGTATGAAACTTTTGTTTCCTCTAGTGAAACGTGTGATATTAAATAGTAACTATTTAATCGATTTTAGTCTAGTATTAGAGAGATATCTTTAGTTTTAATCCGTTGACGTTTTGCTAAACACATTTGCCACACAACACTGTTATAAACAATTATGTATCTAGTACGGTAATCTTAATTGGCTTACTTCCTTAATGTTATAAATATACTATTTTCCTTTAATGTGTGTTTTTTTATAGGAAAGTCACATCAGGCTATCTGCTATGTCCACTGATGGGATTCTCATTCTTGATTTTAGCGTTGTAAATCCGTAGACTTATCGCTCTACCAACAGCAGACCTCATTCGTTTGATACTGGAACTTGTTTTGGTAATACCAGTGCATTTTTATGTTAAATTAAAATAAAAAAAATATGTACACTAAAGAGGCCAACATTCGCGAGCAAATACAACATTCCAACATCGTTAAAAACACAGAAAAACCAAAAACTGTCTATATCACTGCTTGGGACCTGCAAGAAGGTATTTTTGTAAAAATCCCATGTAAGTTGGTTGACATACACATGAATAGTTCACAAAAACCTCAAATTGTGCTTTGCCCGCTGAAAATTTGAGCAAAAGATAACAATTCCAAAATTGCCTGTATTTCTGTTTCAGACCTGTGAAACAGTATCTCTTTACCAAATTCCGTGTAAATTGGCCGAAATACGGGGGAGTAATTGTAAAAAAAAACCTCTAAAATTATGCTTTTTATGGCATCTTGACCCCATTATAATTACAAAGTCCAATGTTTTTGTTTGTCAGCGTGTGTTACTCGTAGAAAAGTATCTTTGTACCAAATTCTATGTAAATTGGTCGAAACAAGGCTAAATAATTGACCAAAACCTCAAAATTATTCAAAATAGGCAAATCCAGCTTTTTCGTATGTCAATGTGTTGGGCGCATGAAAATTTATACTTGTTCCAATTTTCATTTTGATTGCTGTAAATATCACCGCACAGGAGCTCAAAATATACATTTTTGGGTTGTTTGACCTTTGAGCTAATAAAGTCCTTAAAAATGCCTAAATATAAAAAAAGAAACGTTATCTAGGCGTATTAGACCAAGGTATAATACCACCAAGATTCAAGTCAATCCTCCGAGAAATGAAGGAATGGCGGTCGATTGAAAAGTGTTTGGAAGAAGAAAGAAAGAAGAATAAAAAATACAAAACATAATTATGTTATATGGCATCTCACATTTGATCTGGAATATTATACTAAGTTCTTAAGAAATAAATATGAAAGTCTTAAAGTTATAAGGAAAATATGTAAAACGCCGATATATATATATATATGTGTGTGTGTAATGTAAACATAAACATTACTTAAGCATTTAATTTAATGTTTACATCAAATTATAACACATTCTCGCAGTCTTAAGTCTGTTACCTTACCTCTAAACAGTAAGCAACATATATTGTATCACTACAGCACGTAATTTAAATAACTGCTATTAAAGCAGCATGTTACTCGGTATTAACTGAAGAATTATGTGATGTGTTAGAACGTGTACTCCACAACACAACTGGTATTGTTGTAACCACCAACAGTTCAAACAGTTGAGCTCAACTACACAGCAACATGATAGCAACCAACAGCTCATTTTAATTTGTTCTACAATTAAATATCCACCAATAATATAGCTACTGATGCTTGAAACAAGATAGAAATTGTGTTAACTTAAGACTATTAATTCCCGCCAGTTCAAACTCAGAATTAGCAGTCAGATAATATCCTTACCAACATATAGAATGTTAAATGTACATTAGTTTGCCCTACTACCATATCAGGTATTAATTACACCAATTAACTTTTAATTAATAAATTGGTAACATACTACACCAAATTCTTAAGTGTATGTTTGATAAACAGCCCACCAATATCCACTTGCTGTATTTTGTATATCAACTTATACATAAGGTATGAAATACATAAACAGCCCACCAATATCCACTTGCTGTATTTTGTATATCAATGATACATAAGATATTAAATACATAAACAACTTGCCAATATCTACTTACTGTATTATGTGTATCACCAATACGTAAGGTATTACATACATAAACAACTCACCAATACATATTTGCTATATTTTGTATATCACCAGTACATAAGATATTAAATACCTAACAACTCGCTAATACTGATATTGTATGACTACAATCTCAAACAAATACCAGATATTAGCTATAACCAATATATAATTATTGTAAAACTAATGCTATGTATGAAAATAGCTTACCTGTTTTGACTTGATACTTAAGGCTGTCTCTACAGTCAACCAACAGCTGGTCTAGAGGTTGAGGATCATCTGGGATTTCCATATCCAGAAATTCTCTAAGTTGATGAGGTTGGTGAAAATCCACGACTTTGGTAGTTCGGTCATTGGACTTTTTTAGAAAATCCAGAATAATTTGAACCACGTGTACAAGAAACTCTTCAGTAACGTCATAACCATCTTTAGACAAAGGAAGAAGATCTGAAAAAAGAAGTTTTCAGAATTCTCAGTTAAACTGTTTCACATCAAAAAATCAACTTGAATTGCTGTTTATCAGTTAGTAAATAACAGGATCTGCATTCATAATAACAAAGGTAACTTGGAGCTTTGTTTACTTTTAACATTTACATTTATAATAACAAAGATAACTTGGAGCTTTGTTTACGTTTAACATTTACATTCATAATAACAAAGGTAACTTGGAGCTTTGTTTACTTTTAACATTTACATTCATAATAACAAAGGTAACTTGGAGCTTTGTTTACTTTTAACATTTACATTCATAATAACAAAGGTAACTTGGAGCTTTGTTTACGTTTAACATTTACATTCATAATAACAAAGGTAACTTGGAGCTTTGTTTACTTTTAACATTTACCTTCATAATAACAAAGGTAACTTGGAGCTTTGTTTATTTTTAACATTTACATTCATAATAACAAAGGTAACTTGGAGCTTTGTTTACATTTAACATTTATATTAAACAATCTTTAGATGAAATAACGTTTTCATGGTATTTTAATGAAATATTGGTATGAGCACAACATTTGAGATTGAACAGCGAATGATATCAAGTACATAGTACATATATATTTGTTTTATAGATGAATGATTAATCCTGACCTAACTTTAAGGACTAACAGATATTGTGTAATTATAACTTTCAGGTTTTCTTAAACGCTTATTCTTATCTTAATTATGTCTTACTTGCAAAGATTTTTACTTCTGATAATGTTTTTTCAAATGCTATACCAACTGACATTCTTCACGTTTGTTACATTAAAGAATTTATCTAATGAGTTAAAAAAGAAATCAAAGAAAAAATTAGAAATTATCTATGCACAAATAATATTACATTTTTATAGCCCAAAAATGTTCCTGTAATTATCTATATTTCTGGCGTCGCTATTTGTAAGGTTATGGGAAATATTATTTTTTACTAAACAACTAAAAGATTACTGATATAATTTTAAAATTATTATTAAGAACTTAATTTAAAGATATTTTATTATATATATTATCTTCATTTGAAAATGTACTTCAACATAAGGTGGCGTAGATCATACTTTCAGGAATGAATTGAATTAACAACTTCAAAATAAATCTTTCTTCAGAGCTCATTTCTACTGAACTATATTGGGATTATTAATAAAATATCTAAATAAGAAATAAAATATATCTTGAATAATACCGAGATTTTAGAGTTAAAATGGAGATTCTGTTGATCTCACTAAATGTAATTTCGATAATCCATGTACGTATTACTGGGGTTAAATAAGTTTGTTTGTTTTTTGAATTTCGCGCAAAGCTACACGAGGGCTATCTGCGCTAGCTGTTCCTATTTAGCAGTGTAAGGGAAGGCAGCTAGTCATCACTACCCACCGCCAACTCTTGGGCTATTCTTTTACCAACGAATAGTGGTATTGACCGTCACATTAGAACGCCCCCACGGCTGAAAGGGCGAGTATGTTTGGTGTGACAGGGATTCGAACCCGCGACCCTCAGATTGCGAGACGAGCGCCCTAACCACCTGGCCATGCTGGGCCTAAGAAGAAAAGGAAAGAGAAAGACAGAAAAAAGAAAAAGAGAAAGAAGAAAATGAGTGAAAGGAGAGGCTTGAAATAGAGAGAATAAGAGCACATATTGAGAAACAAGAAAAAGAGAGAGAGGGGAGAGACTAGAAATGAAAAGAATAAGAGCATAAAGACAGAAAGAAGGAAAGGAGAGAAAGGAATGACTGGAAATACAGAAAAAAGAATAAGAGCACAAAGAGAGAAAGAAGAAAACGAGTGAAAGGACAGACTGGAAATAAAGAAAATGAGAATACAAATTGAGAAAGAAGAAAAAGAGACGAGAAATAGAGAGAATAAGAGCACAAATTAAGATTGCAAAACTCACCCAACTCGCGACCCGCAGATTGCGAGTCGAGCGTCTTGACCACTTGGCCATATCGGGCGGATTAAATAAAAAAAAGTAAATTTTTATTGTTTTCTTGATGTATAATTTGGAATAAATTACTTTAATAACAATCAAGCTTATAAATAATAACACAAATAATCTACTTTAAGCATGCTATGAAATTTAAACGTAATCAGTGAGGGATAATATTTTTTTAAATTAATATATAATAAAAAGTTACAGACTTGTGTTTAATAATTACCATAATTGAAATACTATATTCTTTAAAAACATATTATTGCGCTGCAAATTTTTCAAGAATGAGGACCTTTCTAAAGTTTATGTTTATTTTTCAAAGTGATCAGATATTGCAAAAATTAAAAAATCAACATAATGTTTCAACCAAATTCAAATTATTTTAAATGGGTACCAGAAATATAAAAGACTCAGATAAAAGAAATAGAAATAATTTACTTTTTGCACTTTTGACTAAAGAATAGGTGTTTTTAAAAACGATTTTTTACATCATCTACTCGTTTTTTTATTGTGTGTGTGTGTTCCATTGAGATTAATGTTTATCTTATTTACACACACGCAAAAATTTTGCCAAAACGTTTTATCTGAATAATCAGAAGTATTTTTTTTAGGAAGCAACTAAAATCAAGACAATATTTATGGCCAACGTGACCATCAGCCTTCAAGGTGTTGATATTATGACGATTTTCAATCATTTAATCAGGGTGGGAAGAATTTGTTAAATATTTGCAATACATTTTGTTTTAAATTGGCTACTCTTGTATTAAACAAAACAATTTATCCTGTATATACATCTTTTCGTTGATACATCCAACCTGATTATTAAGGGCCCGGCATGGCCAGGTGGTTAGGGCGCTCTACTCGCAATCTGCAGGTCGCCAATTTCGGAACCCCCCCCCCCGTCCTACCAAACATGCTCGTCCTTTCAGCCGTGGGGGCGTTATAACGTGACAGTCAATCCCACTATTCATTGGTAAAAGACTAGTTGCCTTCCCTCTAGTATTTCACTGCTAAATTAGGGACGGCTAGCGCAGATAGCCCTCGTGTAGTTTTGCGCGAATTTCCTAACAAACCAAACCAAACCTAATACCTTAACCAATTGGCACGCTGAATCGATAGTGTTGACGTTTCAATAACAGTTGTAACACTTTTGTTTTGCAGTTCATCGTTTTGTTTTTTTATACGTACTCCAATTTCTTTTTTCTTGTTTTTCAACATAAACAACAATATATATTTCACTTATCTTGCTACATTACTTTTAATTACCTTTATTCATGTAAACCAGTTTTAATGCACATTCTGAGATCAATGCATTTGATTTCATTATGAGACAAAAATCAATCTGAGTTTAATAAATAACTAGCGGTAGTTCAATTTTTATTATCCCTTACAGTATAACCTGTTAAAAGAAAGCCAGATTTACTAAAAAAAAAAAAAGAATATTCCAGTATTTGGCGTTCATGCGGTGCTCGCTTTGGAGGCGTTTGCCGGTTGTGATTCGCTGCCTGTTGCCGGGTGATAACCGGCGTCCTTAGTGTTTGTACACCTCGCTACGCCTGTGATGATTCTCTCAGGGGAAAAGAAAAAAAAAAGAACACCGGGATTTATGTATTAAAAGATAAGTTGACAAACGTTCAGATTTTCGGCATGCACACACACACACACATGTATGTACACTGACCCACTCACACATGTACGTATGTTTATATTATTTGACAGTTCGTACCAGTAATCTGTATTAAATTTATTCAACCGTTTTTTTTTTCTTCTGTTGAACTATACACATTTCGATCCCCTCATATTTCCTTATCCGCTAAAACAAAATTGAAATATGATACGGATTAATGAGGTTCGTTTCATCTATGAACATGTGCAAACTTTCACATCTATTTTACATAGCGCAACAGCCCTCAACGGAACAAAAACGTACTTTCAACTAATCCTCGCTTCACCATCTCTGAAAAATCAGAGCTGATTTTACCAACAGTTTCAACCTCGAATTCAGCCCCAAGAGACAGGTTGTTGAGTTAGTGATGAAGAGCCTAAATTGTCGTTACCTGACGCCGTGACTTCGGTGATCACTCTAGCGGGACAGCGAGGCTTTCGTCGCCGGTGAAGCTCGTTTTCAGCCCGGCTTAACGCATGAAACGACTCGGGGATTTCTCCCCTAGTTAATAAGGTAGCCGCACAAAGGTGTCGCGTTTCGTTATCTAAACCATCCATTCGAGTGGGTCGTAACTATTCCCAATGTGCAGTCATAAGGTAGACGTTTTTGGAGTTGTTATAGATCAAGGAAAATAGACTTGGAGAGCCATTTTGAACATTAAAAAAATGCGCCATATTTTACAGCATTATTGAGTTTAAAATTCTAGCCACACATTTCAAGCAACCCGAACATACAAACAAGATTCTATCCAACAATTAACGTCACCCATTTCAAGCAAGCCGAATATACAAACAAGATGCTATCCAACAATTAACGTCACCCATTTCAAGCAAGCCGAATATACAAACAAGATGCTATCCAACAATTAACGTCACACATTTCAAGCAAGCCGAACATACAAACAAGATGCTATCCAACAATTAACGTCACACATTTCAAGCAAGCCGAACATACAAACAAGATGATCTTGTTTGTATATTCGGGTTGCTTGAAATGTGTGACGTTAATTGTTGGATAGGCTATCCATCAGTTAAAATCACACATTTCAAGCAACCCGAATATACAAACAAGATGCTATCTATCAATTAAAGTCACACATTTCAAGCAAACCGAACATACAAACAAGATGCTATACAACAAATAACGTTTTGACATAGAAAGTAAGATATTTTTGCAACCCTATTATTGATGTCATCAAATAAATTAATAAAAGTCATCTTAAGTAAACTAGTACTTCATTTTATTGTACAAAATGAACATATAAATAGGTATTTTGAAGTAAAACGAAATTAGTGCTAACTCTTTGGAACTTAGTGTTCTTATTCTATTTATTTGTCCAAAGGTTATACGTAGTACAGGAATAAATAAATAAATGATTAGA